TGCTTTTGTTTTTACCATGACAGTTTTGTTAGATGTAAAATTATCATCATTAACATTTAAATAAGCATCTGTTGGAAGTTGAATGACAATATGATATGATAACTCTGTATTTTTCAGTATGCTCGAATTATCCGTCCCTTGGGTTTCCAGCCAAGTTTAAGGTACGTACATTGTCTCCCATTATTGCGGTATTGCTATTGCAATGTTGTTTCTTTCTGATTTTATAAAAGTTTGTGTACATGTACACTGTTGGTGTTCTTTTGTTGACTTTTGTTGCTGTGTTCTGTCAGGACTTTAAGATTCAGAATATTGTTGGATCTTGTGACGTAAAGTTCCCCATCAGACTTGAAGGTCTTGCATACTCTCATGGTGCTTTCTCAAGTGTGAGTGACCATATTCATTAAGATTTCAAAGAAATGAGCAAACTGTATTTGCTTTGTGAGAGAATTGTGTTTTAAGACTTGTCTAAGAACGTCCTATTCTTTTTCAGTCTTTTGGTTGCCTGAGTTTTCTCTTGTTGCGCATAGGTAAAGATCTTGTAGGGTCTTCAAGATCTCATTTTGACTCCCCTTTCTCTAGGACTAAGGCAAAAATATTTGAATTGCTTTTATAGTGTTTGGACATTTGTTATTCAAAAAAAGAAAAAGAAAATAGTGTTTGGAGATTTTTATCTAGAGGACAGCTGAAGCAGAATTCTCTTCTGCATAGTGAGTGGTCTCAGACTGTAAAAACAAGTATCTGTATCATGATGTGCTCATCGAAGTGAATAATGTTGAATGATTTCTCATTGGTGATTATGTTTATTGGTTCTTGTCTTGAGAATACGGACTAAAGTGGTGTTGTCTTATTGCAGTATGAACCTGAACTCTTTCCTGGTCTATCTATCGCATGAAACAACCAAAGATTGTGCTTCTTATTTTTGTGTCTGGAAAGATTGTGATCACTGGAGCTAAGGTGAGTTTGGGGATTTTATGAGTTCGTTCTCTCTTATTGAATTGGCTATCCGAAACTCATTTTTTGATGCATAGGTGAGAGATGAAACATACACCGCGTTCGAGAACATATACCCTGTACTTACAGAGTTCAGGAAGGTCCAGCAGTGGTATGGCATATTCTTCACTTGCCAACAACCTTTACTTAAATGGTGTTATTCCTAAGTTTCTGTTTCTTTTGATACCAGATATACGCATGTTAGCCTCTGGGTTCCAAAGCAGATTTATGTTAGATGCTGTTTCTTTGTTCTCTGGTGAGGCATTTATGAAGGTGTGAATACTGGTGCTGAGCATCTATATGGGACTGCGTGGCGGAAGGCTTCTGAGTGGTGTGGGGTCTTTTTCAATTCCTACAATATAGGTCTTGTCTCATGCCATTCTGAAATTGGGTAGTAGTAGTTAGGTATGTGTTTGGGAGGGAAAAAGAGAAACAAGAAAAATTGTTGGATGATTTGATGTGGACTTTCAATGTTTAGAAACTCTGCTCCAGTTTGGGCTGAAAACTCTTACAATGCCTCATAAACTTGTACTGGCCTTGTTGTCTGCTGCATGTTAAAACCCCTGTAAAGCTATAAAGAACTTTTATAGAAAGTGAGACCAGATTGCCTATGGAATTCAGGGAAACCTGGGGACAAAATGGTTTTTTCTTTTAATAATGACATATAGTTATCTTTTAGCTCTCATTTTCTGTTATTTTTAACAGAAGTAATAGTTTATTACATATTTGATATAAATATAATCTGTATCTTAATCAAACATTATATTAATTTATTATTAAAAAAAATTTATCATCTTATATGGTTTTGAGAGTTTATAATAAATTTTACATTTTTGTTTATAAAATCTGTATAAATTGTATGTGCTTCAAGCTAAACTATTCGTAAGTCATTCAAAATGTACTAAAAAATAATGTTAGTTGAATTTCATAATGTAATTTAAAATACTGTCTCAAATTTTTATTAAAATTTAATAGATTATGGAAATAAATTAAACGAACTGAAACAAAGAAAAAAAAAAAAGAAGGATGAATCTGAACTACACACATTCTTGAAAATTAAATAGAAATAAGAAGATGTCACTTATTTATATATTGCTTCCCTCCCAGTGAAAGAAAATATTCAGATGGCAAACTTGAAATTTCGTTGATAAGCAACAAAGATATTTTCCATGGAAAGCAGACCATACGAGAAAAAATTCATGTGGTAACCGTTGTTTTTCCTCTTCTTTCTTTCTTTTCTTCTTCTTCTTCTTTCTCCTGTTTTTTTCTCGTCAAAATTTGTCCTGTTAAAGCATCATCAAACTGAAAACAATAAGCCCATTTGAAACAAAACAATCCAATTGCAAAGCAGCAGGGTTTTGAATGGCGCAATTTACTACTGCACATGGACGCTTGAAGCCACTCTTCAATGGAGAAGGACCATTCTTTGGGCTTGAACTGAAGGACCTACTTCACTATAAACTTGTTGGTTTACGTTTTGGTGTCGGTGGGTTGAGATCGATTCAACCAAACAAGAGAAGGCCACGGTTTTCTGGGTCGTCTACCAGGATTTACTCTTCTTCTTCTGTGAAAAAATCCGCACGTTTTGGTGCAGATGCAAGTGTCAATTCCAGTGATGACGACGACGACGATGGAGATGATGGCTACGATAGTGAGTCAGTGACGGATGATTTGTCTTGCTTTAGAGGCCTGGTTTTGGATATCTCTTACAGGTTCTTCCTCTGTTGATAATCCATTTTCAATGTTGTGCTGATGCTTTGTGTTGTTTCTTTAGTTGAATTCTTGTTCTGAATGTGGGTTTCTGCTGCTTCGGATTTTTGGCTATTTGGGTTGTTTGATCAGCTTAAGCTATTACTAAGATTTTGATAAGTTAGATGCTGGACAAACACCCAAAGACTTGTTCTTGGCTATTTCTCTCTACTTCTGAATTACTGTGTCTTCAACTACCATTTCCTCTATTCCACTAGAGGAGCACATGAATGGAGTTGTGACAAAGAGAAAATATTTGGAGTACTCATCAATCAAGATTGTAATTTCTTTAGAATGAGGTGCTGGTGTTTAATTCTTAAGCGCATAAACAGCAATATGGTTCAAGCTATATACAACACATGTCAATGTCTGAATAGCTATTGAAAGAAGAAAAGCATCCCGTGATCCAGATTTTTAAATTAAGGGGTCTTAGTTAAGCATCCACGTGGACAATCTTTTAGTTCCAGGGAGATATTCTCTGGTCTGCTGGCTATAAGTAGGCAAACTCATGCGGTTACTGAACGTTTTCTGGCAGGTGGCAAAAGGATACCTTAGGCAGATTGCTGATTGTTTACTCGTTTCCTAGATATCTCTATCTCGAAGTTGATTTGTGAATGCTTAACTTATCCTATTTTTATCTTTTTAGCATAATCTTTATGATGTCATGAACTAAGAAACGGATGAAAATGAAAGTGATTATAGATTCTCGTTTGGTGTTTGATTTCCTGGAAGTGCTGTTCACAATTAGACAGCAAGTTTTTCTTTGGCTCTTGTATTGCATTCTTGAGGTGGTACATGAACCTGACTATTGTTTCCCAATCAGGCCAGTCAATGTTGTTTGCTGGAGGCGTGCAATTTGTTTGGAGTTCATGGAGAAGGTTGGATTAATGTGCATTGCTGGTTTATTTTCAATGTGTCGGAAGTAATGATGTGTTGTTTTGGGTTTTTTGTGTAGCTCCTATATTTATTTATCTTTTGAGGGAAATCTTACAGAAAAAAGGACTGACGTAATTAGTCTAACTTCTGAAATTGCTAATGTTTAGCATACGCATGTAGTAGCTGAGAAGCACACTTCTTATCCTTATTTGCCATGCATACATGTCTTGTATGGCTGCAAGTCTTTATCTGGTAAATTCACATGCACATACACTGCATGCATTTTCATATGATAAATATATGCTGAAGATAACTGCTCATTTCTGTTTTCAAGCTCTTGACCCTGCTTTTGCAGGCTGATGTCTTAGAATATTATGATCGGACAGTTAACTCCCCAAGTGGATCTTTCTACATTCCGGCTGTATTAAGGGTACACAATTGAGGAGCATTTAGCTTTTCTCTTTCCTTTTTTAGTGATATATTTCTATATGAGTTAGAAGCTCATTTATGAACTTGTGACATGTCAAATAAAACCAACCATATCTTTTCTGCTCCAGGTTCCACATCTACTGCAGGTTGTTAAGAGAAGAAGAGTTAGAAGCTCCCTTAGTCGTAAAAATATACTATTTCGGGACAATTACATTTGTCAGTGAGTAGTCTAGCCTCTGGCAAATTATAGCTTATAATATGTTTGACACTGGTTAAAATGCTGAGAGACAGAAAAGTGCTCTCTAATTGATTCGTGGAATATGTTTTTCTGGAATGAAAATGGAAGGGAAGGTCAATATGAGCGGCCGATATTGATATGCAGCAATCGGAGATAAATCAAATCCTTTAAAAGTAGAACATGTACATGTGTTTATATGTATGTAGTGTTTGTATGAGTTTGTTTCTTTTTCTGTCCTTTTTGTCTTTGTTTGGCATTGGGAGATTAGGTGTTTGCTCTCTTAAAATTTAGGAAGTATTGGCATCCTAGATGACAAGAATGTATAGAGATCCTTTGTAGAATTATCACATGCATTAAGTCTCCTGGGGATTTCGTGTAGGAATTTTTTGGTTATATTTCACTCTTCTACTATCTGTCCTGTCCTTGTTGGGCAAAATTTTCTGCCCTAATATCGAAAAGTTTTAGCTAAAAAGTGTGATACTAATTTGGTGTCACCTTTAATCACATTCATATCACATGTTCTTTTCTTGGCAGATACTGCTCTTCACCTGATAATTTGACTGTTGATCATGTTCTGCCGGTTGCACGAGGAGGAGAATGGAAGTGGGAAAATCTGGTAATAACAAACTATAATATCTTTGTTTAAATTAAATTGCTATGTTGATCCTATAACCAGCGCTTTTCTCTGGTTTTGACATGTATATGCAATATGAACTGGATTCGTTGTTCTATAATATAACCAGTACTCATATAATCAGGTCTCTCAACTAAATACCTATTACAAATGAAAACAAAGACATCCATGTAATGACAGAGGCCAATCATTGGAGCTTCTTGAACAACTAAGTCCAAGTGCAGAAGATCCATTTTGCCCCTCTAAGCCATCATATAGCTCTATATTTGCATGTGCGTATGCAAATTGCGTTAAATGAACTCTACTGGGAATGAGTAGAGAAATGGAAAGCTCATACTATAATACACTTTTAGAGGGGGGGGGTGCGCGCGGGCAAGTTGGGAGGGGAAAATAGAAGAAAAACCAAACTGAAACCAACGAATGATAGGAAGTCAAATAACTTTAGAAATCACTCAAGTTTGAAAGAAGAGCTTTTCTTTTTAAATTTTTTCTGATGCTGCGAACGAGAAATCCGATCAACCTAGGAATAATTGAACTGTCACTTAGAGAAGGAGGTTTTTACTTTTTTTCCAGAAGTCCAGTGAAATATGAACTTGTATGATTCAGTTTGATTTATGGAAAAGGGGGAAGAAAGTTTGTTATAACCTTGAGTTGTTACTCAGTTCCTGATGCAGACAATCTAGGGAACCTTAAAGATATTTTGTCTTCTTTGGTGTGAATTCCATAAGATTAGTCAGTGCCCCTTGATGCCTTATGAATGAATCCCTTTCTTTTTCCTTAAGAAAAAGCTTTTGAACCATCACTCGATTCCCAAAGTTTTTACAGTTTATGTCGATTTGGTTCTTGTAACAGGTTGCTGCTTGTTCCAAATGCAACTCAAAAAAAGGTCAAAAAACTCCCGAGGAAGCAAATATGAAGCTGCTCAAGGTTCCTAAGGTATGATTTATTTATCTTCTAGATTAATGTATATTTTTTGTCTAATAGCTCAAGATGTTGGGTTTGTTTTGGTAACCTTTATTCATCATATTGGTTTTAGGAGAATGATAAATTATTTCAAGCATGGTGCTTCTATATTCTCTAGGCATGAAATATTTATTTTGGTAACCAAAGTTAAACAATTATTTTCAAGATAATACAAGACATCTTCCCTTGAGCTTACAGGCCCCGAAGGAGTATGACATACTTGCCATACCCTTAACAAGTGCAGCATTAAAGATGCTCAGGATGAGAAAGGAAATGCCAGAAGAATGGCGTCAATACCTAGCAAAACCCTCCTCGGAGCCATAAGATCCATCTGTAAGGGCCATCATATGTTCGGAGAGTTTGTACATGCGATCTATACTCTCACTTCTGCTTCAAAACTATACTAAAAGCACTGTATACAAAAAATATCTAATTTATTGTCTATATAAAATTTAAAAAGATTTTCTTTCTTTTACCCCGCGAGTTCGACAAATTTCATGTAAATAACTATATGCATAGGCATCTAATGCCATAATTTCCTATGCAGTGCACTTTCCTTCATAATTTATTTTTTAGGACTTCCCCTGATAGTTGAGTTTTTATTCATAGTTTTTCTTTTCTTGACATAATAATCTCTACGAATACCCATGTCTATTTTCTGATGCATCCACCCTAGTTCTAGAGATTCTGGGTTTAATGATTTCTCTGCCAGTGGTTTTATCATAATATTCAAACTATGAAGGTTATAATATCTTTTTCATAGATCATTATAATATGGTTATGACACTCATTGTTTTCTTTCTATTTTTCTTTTTGGGTAAATTTGATTATTACATTTGATGTCTTATTCTCATTGCTAAATAAGTCTTAAACCACTATCAGTGGGAGATATGTCACCACACACACAATTATCAATCATATGCAAAGTGGAATCCTAAGCTGCATATATTCTGGCATTTCCTTGTGTGGAGATTTTATAATTTTTGGTGAAAGGAAAGTGGAAACCTGGGACTTTTTGGCCAACTAATCTGGCTGGAAAAGAATCATATCCCTACCCACCATTTTTCTTTTTCTTTTTGTTTAGTTTCTTTTTTTAATAATTCACAATTCTTACAGCTCTCATCTCTAGCAATAATTGCTTTGTATTGTCCTGCTTCTACATTGAGGGTAGCAGTTGGGGATGAGTCTGTCCCCATTGCCATTATTCCTTGCAGAAAATGCAACCCTCACCTGACTTGTCCAGTCAAATTGGATGAACTGTATGTATATATCAGCATATGCACCAAGCCCTCATTTTTTTTTCAAAGAATCATTTCAAAATTCAAACTTTACACTCACCCTGGTTTTTTTTACTACTACACTTAATTAACCCATCTTTTCTTTTTACTGTTGTCTTTTCCTAAGGAAACTCTTAAGGGATTGAACTGAAGTCTTGATTAGGGTTTTCTATTTTCCAATCTCAAGTTTTGGGGATCAAATTGGGTTCTGTGTTTTGTTTAGCTGAGTCACTGTGGATGACACAAGGCTGATCAAGATTATGATGGAGACTTGTTTGATTGATGCTGCTTAAGACTGACCTTGACCCACCATCTGGGTCCATTTGTATTACAATCCAGATTGGTGATGTTCACATGCCAAAGCTATTTTATACTATTAGTTAGGGTTTCTAGATTTACAGAATTAGACAAACAAATGGTGGTTTTTCCGACAGGATTTGAAAATCAAATTCGTTCAAATCATTTTTTTCCCCCAAAAAAGTCTTCCAATATTATTTAGTAAATCAAAATACCATAAAATTAAATTAAATTAAAAATAATGAACTTCCCAATAAAGTTTATTGCTCTTCAATCACTTGTTTTTATAGGAGCTTATTGATTCAAATACAACATTTCATAACAAAGTACTTCAATATATATATATATAGAGAGAGAGAGAGAGAGAGAGAGAGAGAGAGATAATACTTGGTTATAATATATATATATATATATATATATACATATAGGTACGTGAAGTTAAAGATGAAATTGTGATTGGAATATGGGACCAACTATATATAACTTTTTTTATGTAAGGGGGAATTCTCAGAGGGATTGACATGCATGTGAGGTTGCCTCTATGTTACTCTACAAAACATTATCTTCAAGGCACCACCAAGAAAAGGCAATAATTTATTTGGTGTAAGTCTAGGTTTCAACAAAGCTAAGGTAAATAAATATGTTGGGTGTATTCATTGAATTCCTCCTAAAATCTGTTGTAGAATTCAGTTCAATTCAAAAATCAAATTATTCATTTGTTAATTAAGAGATTGTGAATTCAAATCAGACTGTAAGCCTTCGTTATAGATTACTATATATATATATATATTATATAATTAATGAAATATATATTTTTATTAAAAAATTTACGTACAATAAAATTATTTTCTAAAAATATTTTAATTTTACACTATACTATTGAAACTGATACTATAAAAGGATTTGATTTATTTTTTTAAAAAAATAATATTAATTCATCTTCTTCACCAAAACCCTAATTAACCAAGTAGGTTATCTACTAAAAATACCAAAAGCTAACTAGGGTTAGGACCATCGATAATTACTAGGGATTTTGCTTATATTATAAGAAAATTCTTTTTAAATCTTATAATATATGTTTTATAATTAATTTGGTCTTCTCCTTATAGACTACTATATATATTATATAACTGATAAAATGTATAATTTTTTATTAAAAATTACTGGTGATGAAATCTCAATTTAATAATATTTTAATTTTGTACTATACTATTAATTAATCATCTAATTTTTTTTAATAACTCAATTGAAAAATTAATACTATGATTTGATTAGATTTTAAAAAAATAATACTTATTCATCCCCTTCACCAAAACCCTAATTAACCAAGTAGGTTATCTACTAAAACACCAAAGCTAATAGGGTTAGGACCATTAGTAATTATTACTAGGGATTTTGCTAATATCATATATTATATAACATTTTAATAATTTTAATAAACTTTTTAACCTTATCACATAATTTTTTTTTTGTCTTTTGTAGGAATTAGTAAAAAAAAAATAATTGGGAAATTTGAATAAAAAATATTTATTGGTAACTACCATTTTACACACGTAATCTATTTTTTATAGTAACAATAAAATATAATTTTCATAAAAGTTTATGGAGTCATCTTCAAAAAGTGTTATTAATGAAGTGAATGTAGGCTATGCAATTCAAGCTTAGAACTTAATGTTGATTTGCCTCTTAGCTTATTTTAATAATGAAATTAAAAAAAAAATAGTTCTACCCCAATAATTTGTATATCATACATCAACAATAGTATTTAACGAAATTTGAAATTAAGATTCAAAAGATGTTCAATGAATCAAAATTTACTATGATTTATAATAATTAACACGAAAATATTTTGAAAAATTTAACTCGTATTACGATAAAGTAGAGAAAAATATATATATTTTTTGAGAGCAAATTGTGTAAAATATTAAAGATTTTATATTAATATAATTTATTTTTTCAAAATATTTGTTTACATTATCTTGAAAATTCCAAAATTCTAGGTACGCAAAAATAAATTATCTAATTATTTGATTATTTTTAATTTTAGAAAAATTTGAGTTAGTCTTACAAATTAAATTTAATGGTCCAATTCACTGAACATTTTCAAGATTCATAATTGATTGATTTTATTATTATAATGTACTAATATAATTAGATTGAGAAATTAATTTATTTAATGTGTTGATAGAATTATAGTAATCAAATTGAGATAATTTTTATTAAACCTATTACATTGTGTAGAGATCCTATAAAATCATGAATAATTACAATAGTTGATAAGATGTAATAACTAGAAAAAGGAAAAAAAAAAAAAAAAAAGAGAGAGAGGGAAGGGAAAAACGATGTCGTTTTGCAAAGGGGAGGAAACGGCGTCGTTTTGGAAAGGAAAAAACGACGTCGTTTTGCAAGGAGGAAAACGACGCCGTTTTGAGGGAAAACTGGGGTGATTTAAGTTGGAGGCGGGGGAAGGAAGGAAGAGAGGAAAGAAAAGAAAAAAAAAAAGAAAAGAAAAACGGGGAGCAGGGGAAGAAGGGGAGTGGGAGAGAGAAAGACGAGAGGAAGGAAGGTTCCAGAAGGAGAGAGGAAGGAGGCGGAGCAGGGAGAAAAGGAGATCGCGGACAGTGAGAGCACATTCGGCCGAAAGCAGGAAAAATGGAAATGGGAGGTACGGTAACTAACTCTAAATGTGTGTGATGATTTGAGTGTAAAATGGTTGGATGTGTAGCGTGCGTGGTCACGGGTTGTGGAGGTAGCAGTGTACGGAAGAGACCGGGTGAGTAGGTGTAGTGAGGCAGTTGGAAGGAAATGGATCGAGTGAAGATCGCGGGAGGAGAGAGATAGGAGTGCGGAGTGAGTGGAGGTCGGGAGAGAGAAAGAAGGTGTGCGAGCGAAGGAAGAGTCCGTGGGGTGAGTGAGGTGTGTGAGCAACGCGGAAGGAGATAGGGAGAGGTTCTGGTGTGAGG